ACCAAGAGCAAGTCCTGCCTGACCAACCTAGTGGCCTTCTATGATGCAGTGACTACATGAGTAGACAAGGGAAGAGCTATGGATTTCATCTATTTGGACTTCTGTACAGCCTTTTACACAGTCCTTCACAACATCCTTCTATCTAAATTGGAGAGATATGGATTTGGTGGATGAACTGATCAGTGGATGAGGAATTGTTTGGATGGTCACATCCAGAGGGTAGTGGTCAATGGCTCAATGTCCAAATGGAGATCAGTGACAAGTGATGTCCCTCAGGGGTTTGTACTCGGACCAGTACTGTTTAATATCTTCATCAGTGACATGGACAGTGGGATCCAGTGCACCCTCAGCAAGTTTGCAGACAACACCAAGCTGAGTGGTGCAGTTGACGTGCCTGAAGGACAGGCTGCCATCCAGAGGGACCTGGACAAGCTCAAGAAGTAGGCCCTTGAGAACTTCATGAGGTTCAAAGTGCAAGGTCCTGAACCCGGTAAACCCCCAGTATTAATATAGGTGGAGGGATTAAGGGATTGAGAGCAGCCCTGCAGAGAAGGAGTTGGGGGTACTGGTGGATGAAAAGGTGGACATGAGCCAACAATGTGCACTCGCAGCCCAGAAAGCCAACTGTGTCCTGGGCTACAGCAAGAGAAGTGTGGCCAGCAGGTCGAGGGAGGGGATTCTCCACCTCTACTCTGCTCTCATGAGACTCCCCTCTGCAGTGCTGTGTCCAGCTCTGGGGTCCTCAGCACAGGAAAGCCATGGAGCTGTTGGAGCGGGTCCAGGGGAGGCCACAGAAATGATCAGAGGGACAGAACACCTCTCCTATGAGGCCAGGCTGAGAGAGTTGGTGTTGTTCAGCCTGGAGAAGGAAAGCCTTCAGGGAGACCTTAGAGTGGCCTCCCAGTGCTTAAAGGGGGCTACAGGAAAAATGGGGAGGGACTTTTTATCACAGAGTGTAGGGATAGGATGAGGGGTAATAGATTTGAACTAAAATAGGATAGACTCAGACTAGATATAAGGAAGAAAATTTTTACAATGTGGGTGTTGAAACAGTGGAAACAGTTGCCCAGAGAGGTGGTAGATGTCCCACCTCAGGAAACATTCAAGGTCATGTTGGACGGGGCTCTGAGCAACCTGATTTAGTTGAAGATGTCCCTGCTCATTGCAAGGGAGTTGGTCTAAATGACATTTAGTGGTCCCTTCCAACCCAAACTATTTTATGATCATGGAGGGGTACTGCATTACCAGAGAATCAGCAGTGTCAGCAGCTATGTTTCTGTCAATCTTTCATTGAATTGCATTGAATTTCATTGACTTGCTTCTTTTATAAATGACAACATTTTCACATTGAATGAGTCAAATTGACATGGTCAGGATTTGTCTAGATCCAGACAGAAGGAAACTTTCACTAAGTAGTTAATTGTACCCAGGGAAAGTTGCAAAAGTAGCTTTTCATCAAGAGGCTACACTGGAATTGAGGAGGGATTATTAAATAATGGTGCTAATTTGTGGACTGAGGAACAATAAATTGTTTTCTTCTTTCAGACTTACTCCTAGACAATTTGTTCATCACATCTGTATTTATTTTTCAGGTGGGCTCTTTTGGTTGTTAAATATATGGAATGCAATAGTATTATCTGTGCGACATGTACTGCTTCTGATTTTGGAAAGTTAGCTGAACAGAAAAGATGGAGGGAAGAATCACTTTAGATTGAGGATCTTCTAGCTCTTCTCAGTTAAATGAAGAAATCATTCTCTTAATCCTGAAAAAAACAGTTTAATTCAGGACTGTTGTTTCGGATGTTAACCGCAATAAAGAACGGTTTTGAAATTAAACCCAGTTTAGTGTTAGACTGTATTATTTGAACCATTTGAAAAATCTTCAAGTGTATATGCTGGAAAATACAGGGCAGCATTTAGGAACATGAAACATTTAATAAATCTAAAAGTTTTTGGATTTTTTGAAACTGTCTTTTTTTTTGTAATTTGTTGATTTATGCATTCCTCTAAAAATTCAGGAAACTCTAATGCTCAAAGCCTCCAGCCACGTTTTTGATTCCAGTGTGGTAGGTGCTGCACAAATAGAGTGAGAAAATAGACAAGGCAGACAGTAGATGAGAAATTAAGACTTTTGGCCAGGCTATGTGATTTTATCCTCAGCAGAGAGGTAGCAGAAGCAGAAAAAAAAAAATCTTATCAGCATCCTGAACAAGCACCCTACTCACTGATCAGTTCTGCCTCAATTGTAATGACCACTGGGCTCAGTGATGCCACTGAGCACTTACAGATGCTGTCTTCTGAGGAGATCTCATAGCCATCACTGGGAGGCTATGCTTAAGGAACAAAAATAAATTTTCTGAACTCAACTGCCCTGTCAGGAAGGACCAGAGAACCTTAAAGTGCAGAGTTGAAGATAATTGGAGGGATAGATATCTGTGAATTGCTTAGAGGTTTAGAGCACCCATTATACCCTCACTTGAAAGTTCAAGAAATAGGGTTTTCTCCTCAAAGCCCTGTTTAAAGACAACCAGAAGGTTCGTGGTGATCACACTATGTGAATGATGCTAACGAAATTTTCTCTCCTTCTTTTGGGGATTAGAGATGCATTGGACAGAGGGATCTGATGGTGTTGACAAGGGTCAATTTACTGAAATGCAGACTTCACAAGAAGAGTTGCAATATTGGGAACATTCACTTGGGATGGAGATCATGGTTTCAGCGAGAGAAACAGAGAGGTGCATTCACTTGCCTCAGAGTATTATGCTACCTAGAAAGTTAGAACATTTGGGTTTTTTGTGGGGTTTTACATATTTAAAACAAAAATACTCATTCCCCAAATCACAATGGCACACTTCCCCTCTCCCCACATTGTAATCTGAAAATGTTAAAAAAAATCCAGATTCCCAGGTGGCAAAACAGCGTCCTGGCTAGTTCTCTCATCAGTGCATGTTGTTAATTTATTTGGCATTCTAACCCAATTCTTTATCCTTTTATTGGATAACACAATTCTTCTGATCCTTGAAGAGTAAAGGATAAAGCCCTTCAATCTTAAATGAGTAAAGGGAAAGTCCAGTCCATTGCAGGGTGGGAAATAGCTGTTATAAGAAGTCCTATACCGTTGCTTTGAACTCAAGCCTAAGCACCATGTCCGATCTAGAGCAGTGAACACACACTGTAAACAAAAGTTAATTTCTGGATCCCTTTCTTCCTGTCAAAGTTTCTTTATTGTCCTTGCCTTCTGTTTCTGCATTCATCTCTGCTTCTAGCTTATATACTTATCTTGCTTTTCAACTGTACAAGTCAGTTTTCTATTTGCTTCCTAAGACCCTTCTGAATCTGTGCTCTCAGATGATCCTCCTTAGAAAATTTTTGCCATTTCTTTGTAAAGATTTCTTCATATCCTGATGTAATGAGTCAGAGAGGCTGGTTAGGTCTAAGCCGTTCTCCAGCATGTCCCAGAGCGCAGAAATTCACCCAGTTCCCATTGTACTGAGCTTTGATTTCCCAAAAGATGACCAACCATCTGGACAGCTCCCTCCAAACTTCTGCTGATCTTTCCCCTTCCCTAGACCCTTCTCATCCTGTTCCATAGTGACCTCAGTTCGTCAAGCCCTTTGCTCTTCTCTCCCCACATTGTGGTTTCCTCTCTTAGAGGCTCTTCCTCTTGCTTCCTAGATCAGCCTGGGTGCTCATCCCTGCTTCTGAAATGCTTGCTCCCTCCTACCACTGGAAAAGGAGTGGCCTTTCTTTTTTCCCTTGTCCCCGGAATGATTCATCCTTCACTCCAACGCTCTCCTCCTCTCTGTTCCTTGCCCTACTCTACCATCCACCCCATCCCATCTGTACGAGTGGCTGAAAGATGTGTTGCCTCTGTTCCTTGTTTCTCCCAACCCTTCTCTCACTGTCCCCACTATACCTCTCCTGTGGGTCATTACTCCAGATTCCTTTGTTCTGATGCCTCCCTCTATCCGAATATCTCCCTCAGCCCAGCTTTTACTATTTCTCTTCTTTATCGAGGCCTGCTCAGGATCCAGTACTGCAGCTACTGGACTGGGTCCCTTCTTCCCCCTCCCTGTCCAAGCATCTCTGCTCATCCTCAGTTCCAATGGCAGGAATTGCTTTTCTTCACAAAAAAAAAAAAAAAAACAAAAAAACAAAAAAACAAACCAACCCAGAGGAGTTATATTCATCTGATGGCTTTTCCTTTTCTCCCTGGCTCTAATTTGCAGCACGTATTTTTGCAAAAGTGCTCATCCTCGAAGCTAACAATAAACCTGTCTGTGTGTGTGTGTGAGAGAGAGAGAGAAGAGGGAGGGAGAGAAAAGCAATACAACAGTCTGGCTATGTGAGGCGGCATTGGAGAGCTGCTAGACCAGGGAAGCTGCCTAAGAGACGCAAGCCCCTTACTCTGGGCTCAGTGTGATCCCATTGGTTCCTGAGCTGCTGTTTTAAAGCAAAAAAAAAAAAAAAAAAAAAAAAAAAAAGAGCTTGGAGGATAGAACTGCACAGCCAGACGCAGACTCTCAGCCAAGTTGTCAGCACGCTGGGAGGAAGAGAGGCTCGCACACACGAGATTGCAGGGTGTCCGCAGCTTGATGTTCGTTTGTTTCCAGAAAGGAAGAAAAGAGAGGGAACAAAACAAAACAACAACAAACAAAAACAAAAAACCACAACAACAAAAAAACAAAGCAGAAAAGGGGAAAGGAGCCTGATCCATTCCAGCAGTCCTGGGGAGAATAATGGATGCGACCATATCTCAGTTCATCTTAGAAGAATTTGATGTCAACTGCAGCCTCCTGGATCGTTTACAAGAGACTTTTTTAGAGAGTTCCTCTATCCCTTTCCTGGGCTTTGATGGTAGGAGACATTACCTAGCCAGGGCTCCGAAAAGCTTTATAAGTGCTAAGATTTGGTTTGCTTTGTGATGCAAAGTGTGTTGCTTTTGTGCTTTCTCAACTGCTTCTTTTCCCCTTTCTGTCTCCCTTTTTTTAACGCAAAAGGTCTGTACTGCAATGCCACCACTGATCAGATTGGGACCTGCTGGCCCAGAACCTCTGCGGGGGAGCTAGTAGAGAGACCCTGCCCGGAGTTCTTCAATGGGATCAAATACAACACCACGAGTAAGTACAAACTCCTTTCCTTCTCACACAGATCTGGTGTTCAGAAGGTGCCTGGGGAGACCCAAAATATATTTTCCATTAAAAAAAAAAAAAAAAAAAAAAAAAAAAAAAAGTTTGCCTGGGAATCAACATTTCCTCCACATTCCAGCCTGTATATTCAAAATTCCTGCCTGGAATGATGCAGATTTCTCAAAAGCACAGACTTCTGGACACCGATTCCTCTTTACTTAACTGTATTTAGGTAGATCTGGGAAAAAATATCCTCTGCAAACTAAGGAGGGTGTACTGTGCTTTGTGTGTTTAAGTGTAGATATGTATAGCTGAATGTGTTTGTAGCAGCGCTTCAGCCATTTGGATAATTAAAGATCCTTTGGCTTGTGGAGTACTTAGTCTTAACGCCTAGGAACTGCATTGTGAAAGGACTCTGCCTTTGAGAGGCTGTCTGTGTGAACAGGGGGACAAACCAGGCTGAAAGTTGTATCTAACAAACAGAAGGTTGAGGTCTGGAATCTGTTTAGGAACTTCATTAGCGGTTGGCTTATGAGACTGGAATGGCTGCATCATTACTGCAAGGGAAACAGTAGAAGATATTATGAAGCAAATAATATTCAAAGCAAGGGAGCGTGGGGGCTCCTTAGAAATCTCTTAGAACTGATGCTTTAGTCTTAGAGGTAAACAATCATGATGACTCACTAAAAATTTATTATTCAGGCTGTTGGACGCAGGCACTTGTTTCCTTTTCCTTATCTGTCAATACTGCTTGGATCTTTCATTAAGAGTTTTTAACATGTTAGTTCCAAATATGTGTACTCACTTGTTTGTCACTCATTTTTTCAGTCTTCTCAGTGTGCTTTTGACTGTGGGGATCTGTGTTTCACTCTGAACTGTTGCTCGGGTATTAGTAGTCTTAATTTTCAGGTAGTGTTAATTCTGTGGGGCTAGCATTCTCAATAAGTCCTGTAAAAGAAGGACTGTGTCCTCTTAAACCTTTTTTATTAACTTGTTGAAAGTGAATTTATTCTTTTCCCAGGTCTAGGTGTCAAGGGTCAGATAACTAGACAAAAGTTCTGTGTATTTGCTATGCAAAACAAAGTCCTCTTCCAGATTTGTTCTTAGGGACCAGCTTCTGTCATCCTTGACTTTGATCAGGATAAGGTTTTTACCTCAGAGAACTGCAAGATCATCCTCAAACCCTGTATTCTCTGACCCGAGAGAGAAAATAGATGGAAACATGCAAAGGGCTGGGTTACGTTGTCTTTGATTATAGCAGGTAGTCCACTACCTTTACAGCCTCAGTTGACATCAAAAGCAAATTTCAGAGAATTAAGGACAGCTCAGACAAGAGTAAATGTATCAGAACGGACCCTAAAAGAACAGCCATAGAAAAGGTACCTCAAAGAAGTTTGACCTTTTTTTTAACATTTCCTTTTTGAGGTGGGGGATGTCAGTATTCCCACTGCCTTATTTTTGTTTCTCCAAAGGGGAAGAGACAAGGGGGGTAAAAAAAAAAAAGGCACTATGGATGATTCCTTATTTATATCATAAACACAGTGGAGAAAATTTAAATGCTTTTCCTGTGCATGGAAGAAAAAAACTCTTGAATACCCCATTTTATTTTGATAAACTGTGTTAATGCTTTTAGTTGTTCATCAGTGAACCGATTTAAAATTCTTCCCTGTTCCTCTCCTTCACAATGGTGGCTAATGATTGTATTACAGTGCTAATAAATTTTCTTAAATTCATTGCTCTTAAAACAATGCCATGCTAATAAAATTAAAGACTGATGAAAATATATTATTAAAATGTTGAAGCATTATTTTGTCATAGTCTAGGGAAGGGGACATTTTTCTCTTTTCAACATAAAATGTGAATAGCCACATTGAGAAAATGTATGTCTGCAGGACTGACTGGTAGTGCATACTGGTGCCCAGATGTGGTAGCGTATATCGCTTGTAGTAGAGAACTGAAGTACATGGAAGCTGCTGCAGGTGGCTTTCAGTTGATCTTACACTCTCTCATGTGTGTAGCTCCTCCAAGTTGTAGCAGAAAAGGAAAGGAAAGGCAATACCGTGTCAAGAGACAACTTGTAAAATCAGTAGCTTCTTGGGCACTAGTAGTTGGTGATTAAGGCTTGGGAAAGCTGTGAGGCAGCAGGTTAATATTTGGATACAGAGGTGAAATCTCTTTTGTGATTTGAAAGATGTGGCAATTAGTACATGAGGAACATGTCCAACGATTGGGAAGGACAAATACTGACATGTCTGCCTACTTTTACTTGCATGATTTCACCAGGTAAGTTTGTGAACTAACTAGAGGGTCTTTTGTAATGACACTCAGTGTGCTTAAAACCTAGATGTGGACCCCGTGCAGATAATAAAATAAGCACAGAAAGTTGAATCAGAATGGGAAATGGATCTTTCAAATTTCAGAGGTGAATAATCCAGCTGCAAAGTGAAGGTTTGATCAGGAGATGGCTTGGATCAACATAAGTTTTCTGCCTAAGATATGCAGTATATTTTTTTCATGCATTTTGCATTTTGGTGAGGCAAAGGGAGAAGTGACGGTGTGTAATATTGTATTGAATTGGTTTTGAGACCGAAATCAGACAAGTTTAGAAAAACCACTGTGCAATGCCTTTCTTCTACTAAGGGCTTATCCAGTTCTAGATTGTAACTCATTTATTTATTATACTGTCACACATCCCATGTTTGCAAGCTGCCACCTTTTAAGAACCATGGTGTATCTTTGGTTTTGTATGGCTGCAACTATATTTCTCATTGTAATGTGTGTAAAACTTTTGGATCAATTTCAGTGATTTTTTTGGTTTTGTTTTTAGAAATGAAGCTCTCAAAGATTCCAAGTTGCTACCAGTTTCATAAAAGTAGCTCATCAGCTGGAGGGAATGAACCCAGTAGCATTCCCCTTAAATGAAAGCTTTTGCATTGTAGACACTGGAAAATCCAGACTTGGAAGTGCCCAAACTGTATGAAAAAATTATACCAGACTCAGCCAAGCACAAGACGTAGATCCATAGCAAATCAGGCTGCCCAAGTTCTGGCACTCATGGGGCTATTCCTGTGCCTTATTGTAGTCACTGTGTGTGTAGTGCGTGGAATTCAAGAGAGAATGCAACAAGTAGTTTGCATCACCACAGATCAGATCATCAAAGGCTTTGGATGGACGTACCCTGGCTTGGTATCCATCCTGTCAACTGTCATGCTTTGTCACCCTAACTCAGAACCCCCGAGTGCTCAGACGGGCAATGCTGTCAAACCCTGCAAAATGCCAGCAATATTTAATGAGACAGTATTTAGGTCAAAAACTTAAGAACAAGAACTGGTGCATTAAAAAATCACCTCCTGTTTGCCTCTATAAAAGAAGCTGTTTGCATAAAATATTTCCATTCTAACTGCAAAAAATTTCCGTGGTGATTTTGTGCCTGTATCTGTTTCTGTGTGTCTCTTGGGAACTGCTGAGTGACTCAGATAAGTTTCAGCTGGATTCATAAAACAAAGTCTGTCAGTTTGTGAGTATTTTTCATCTCTGACACTTTGTTATTTTGGTGATTTTTTTTCTACTTCTTTATTTGCAAAATAAAGTCAAGCTGACAAATCAAGATTTGGTTACCCTGCAGTATGATTTGTGAATACAGGCAAAATGTTCTTTGACCAAGGATCTGAAAATGGTGCCATCCACTTACAACTTTGCAATTTTGCAGCAAATCTTATGTATGATTCTCAAAGATAAAAAATAAAATAAAATAAAAAGAGGAAAGTGTATGTGTTGGTGCAGTGTGTGGCTGTGCACTTGTCTCTGCTCAGTTTCTATATTTAGCTAAAGATGACAATATCATTGCTGCCCTCTAGATGTGTTTATGCTTTGACAGCGTGAAGCTTTTATTCTTGTTTTAGGAAACAGATTAATTCACTTATTAGGATATCCTGAAGCTTGATTAATTCAGCAAATGGGCAGTAATGAGACTCTTTTTGCTGATTGCAAAAATGTGGTCGTACATGTAAGTACTTATATCATGTTACAGGCTAAAGTATCTCTACTTTAGCTCTTTCCTTTCCGTACAAATTGCCGCGTGCAGTGGGGAGAGTCAGGACTAGATGTTCATCTGATGGACAGTAAGTGTTGACTATGGTAGCCCTAGCTGCCTGATTTGTTTGTCTACAACAGCCAGTGCAGCGGAGGGGTGTTCTGTGGTAGCCCTGTCCGCTGGGGCTGCTCAGATCAGTTTGTGCTGCTCGCAGGCAGGAGGTGGAAGCACTGGAAAGCCTTCAGTTTGCAGATTAAGACACGCAAATCTAGGTATTTCTATGTAGGTATCAACAGCTAATTTAAATATCAAATCTGTAATACAAGTTAATGAAGCTCCATTCGCTAGAGGAAACGAAGCCTAGATAGTTACTGAGCTCAACCCAAATGTACATATTAGCTCAGTAACCCCTGCAGAAGTGCTAGTGCCACTTGATACGTCCAGGGGTATTTTGCCTGGTGTCTAGTTCCTGTTTGTGTTTTATCTTCAAGGCCATCTAAACGTGTTGCAGATACTCTAAGACAAATGATACAATGCCTGTGTTAGGCAGCTGAATTAATCCCTGGATGTCAGTTCAGCTGAACTGAACCCACACCCGGGGACTGAGGGCAGACTCCTTTTGTGATCAGCAAGAACTAAAGGTCTCTATAGCTCTAATTCCCTCCCTGCAACACCTCCCCGCCCCTCAGCCTAGGAAAGCTCTTTGACTGAGATAGCCACTTCAGATGAGTGTTTTGGGTATCACAAAAAGCATCTTCATCTTCTCCAGTGACTGTGATGCTGAAAACAGGCACACGAGCACTGCTAACCTTGCGCTGATGGGGATTTGGTCCCTCCCTGCCGACTCCTTGTTCTGAGGGTGTGTACACTGCCTTTTCCTCGGTGGCCCTATAACCATCTGCCTTGTTGAGAATGATTTGGAGGGGGTGGCAACTTGGCAACTGGGCTTTGTTCAGGT